AGCTTTAATCAAAAAAGGTAAATATATGAAGGTAAATATAATTAGTAAATAAAATGGTTAGCATGGATATTATATACGATATAATATTTGCACACACACACAAAAAAAAGTTCAAAATAAAGCCACCCTGAGGGGTAAGGAAAGGGAGGTGTAGGTGGGKTATGACTTAAACTTGTCTAGATATAGTTTACAGGTTTTTCATATCGTATACATATTCTTGATCCTGTTTTTTTAAATTTTTTAAAATTTTTACTTGAATGCCACAGCATAATTTATCTAATCCTATCCTACATTCAAAATAAAAAGTTAATAATTTAATTTATGAAAATGTAACAATATTCATTGCAATCATCACCATAATTGTAGCTATTGTACAATTACTTAACAGGTTGTGTATTCAATTTGTGAAGTAAATACAGTAAAATACTCTATTTSATGMCATAATTTTGTATTGTTTTGCGCRTCTTGGGGTCTTAAAGCTTCTCCATTTAAGAAGCATTGAGTTATCTATGAGTTATCTGGCCACAACACACTCCGCCATCTCGTTTCCTTAGTTCCAGTTTCATGTAAAACTATTTTGTATCAGGTCGATCGTCTTTCCTTGAACGTCGCACAGGAACTCGAACAATAGGTGACTTTATGTCAAAGAAGCAGTCTGGCTACTCATTGGTAAGGTTGGCGACTGAGGGGTTTAGTGAAAGTCTTTTGGCATTTTTCCTTGCATTTCTCCTTGTAATTTAACTTTTCCAGGGTATTTTAGTTTATTAATTTTTCGTTTGGAAGGTTTGCCTGTAGCTAACAGGATTGGTTGAAAAGGTTGACGGAGTTGTGTCTTTGTACATCAGCAAAAACAGAAACACAATCAAGTTATTTCATGGTGCGGCTGGATTGTTTAGCATTGATTTCTTATGAGCAATGAGAAATGCCAAAACCATATTTACAAACACTTGGGATCTTGGATACGCTAGCTAGTAATATTAACAGCATTGCTAACAATGGTTTGTATTCGAGGTGTCTAATGGTAGTATCTCCTTATGTGGTAACCGTATTTTGCAAACTATTTTCGCAGTGACAGCTGATCTTGTACATACTGTACAAGTACTTACACCAATGTTGCTTGATCAAAAATGTGCACAGCGCATGCGTGCGATTTTAAACAAGAAAAATATACATTATAATAATTCACTTAGACGAAAATCGACTAGTCATAAGTCGCACACTGTTATCAATCATTTGCATTTTTGGTTTTGAAACTATTTTGTTGGTGCACTACCGTTTTACATTAAGCTATCACGCAACAATACACTCCACACACGCCCTGTAAGCCATACCCACAGACTCGGCTAATATGTTGGAAAATCGAAGCCTAGAGACTGGAAAAAATCCTTCACCTCTTGTTGCAAGAAATAGAACGAAACAAGAAAATATTAACTGGTGACCATTGTGCGTGATGTTTTGGACTTTAACTTGCATAAGAGACTACGACATATTGTATGATTTTTTTACAGTAATTAATATGGTAAAAGAGTAAATTTTACACCGTGAAAAGATGAAAAGGACGTTAGTCCTTCGTCTAATGATTTTTTTTGTTTGGTTTATAAATTAGACATCTAGACATATTGTATGGTTTTTCGCACGCTCCGTAGTAGTCTTAAGATCTTGCCATCAAGAAAGGAAATTGGTGATTTGACATGAAAGACAAATCAAAGTTGTTGCAGATTATTTTGAGTACTATACGAATTATTTTGAATTTGTGCCTTCTTGTAAGTTAGACATAATAATGACACTACAATCTAAAGTTGTGTTTGTAGTGTGAGAAAAGAATGGCAGTTCAAGGACTGGACACAGTGAGAGGCAACATCACTCTTGGGCCGACAGAAGGTTTGTTTATCGTTTATTGATAGTCTTTATTAACTCAACAGCCAAAGGAAAATAAACAAGATAAATAATGATAATGATGATGATAAATAAACATATAATTGTGCAATGAAAAAGTATTACAAAAGAAATCGCTAGGCTTTGGGACATATAAAGCCAAAAGAAAAAAATTGAAAGAAGGTTAGTTGATGTTTGAAAAATCGTCATATATTCGAAAAGAAAAAGAAAGTACAAAGTTGAAGGGGCACTTGGATGGAAACGCTCCAATTTTTCAAAGGCCGAATAATTGAAGTATTTGAGGATAATATGACTCAATTATGATTATGTAAACCAGATTAGTGAACATTTTAGCCTGGGAGCCACTTGCTATTAAGATATTTTGGGTTAAAAGAGAAAAGAACAATAGGGTTGAGTAAACGACGTCATTTACTCACAATTTAGATGCTGAATAAAATTGGTAATTTTTATCTGAGACATTTTACTGTTAAGAAAGTATGTTGCTTGGCTACGATTGGGGCCATATAGATACGTTTCATTAAGCTTAAATTTATTTCCAATTTTTATCCATTTTCACCCAAGTGCCCCTTTAATAAACCATTTAGCCATAATTTCTGTAGTGCAATAACCAATACCTCCAAACATTTAATAATTTTTGATCCCATTTCTTAAGCATGCTTATAATTTGCTCTGTCAGGGATTTTATCCACCAAGAACTCCACTTTTGCAAGAATCACATC